ATCCATAACGATATGATGAGAGCGATGTGAACAAGACAATGGTTTACAGTAAAATGAGCTTAATATATTAATGTTACAGCTAATAAGCTAAAAAAAGTACTAGATATTAATAGAATTTTTTAAATAAAAAAAAAAAAAAAAAATAATCATATAATATATGAACTTACATTATTTACGAGTACGAAGAACATATTCAGTCATGAAATTTACAATTATTACTGTATGATTGTTCTAATTTCGCCACAGGTCCAGAAGTAAATTCCAAGTTCACTATACAGGGTGGATCAAGATCAATTCGTTGTATGGCGCAGCAGAAAATTCCTTTTTAAATAAATCCTTTAACGAAAACCATATCCACACCTTCCAATTCCTCCTGTATTATGTTATACATCGCCTTATATGGTAAATACCCTGAATTAAGGGATTCCATGAACATTGTGAAATATATAATTTATCGTATTCTTATGGTGTATCGGCAGATGGTTGTAACAATCTTGTTTAACCGTATAGGATTTTTCATTCTTTTCCATCGTATATGGATAACTCCTTAACCTCAAATTCGGGGATGGGAAATCCTTGTACGTCTATAACAACGAACTTCATCGTATCAATGTCTTGCAGCAACTGATTAAATTAGCGTTCTAACATGTCCTGATAAAGGCAAATATTCCATGACTCGATCGTATATGATGATACAAAATGCTCGGGTGTTTTCGGGGAAATTTTCCGAACTCTCAAATTCTAGCTTTACATCTCTCACATTACTTTTCAAAAGCCTGTTCTGTTTTGAACAATCGATACAAATAGGCAGAGAAAAGCGGAAATCGAGCAAAGGTTCGCTTTGATCCTTTCCAAAATACGATTTTTGGAAAGATCCGTATACATGGAATAGGCTTTAGTAAACCGTCTGGTGTGGAAAATTTAATCTATGGATTCATATGGGTAGGCCTCGGAATTTAGATAAAGCTTGACATCTGTGAATTTTCAAATTATTCGACAATATGTGCCATCGCTTTATAGTTGATTCTTTTCGATTTCTTCTTGGAAAATACAATAACATATCTCGCTCGTTCAGATGCTGCCTTCACTGCCCACACATCTTTTCTCGCTTGTCGTAGTGCAGGTAGTTCATGAATTTCCCATTTCCTTAAATCCAAATAAATATCGTTGCCTTGGAAAGTCGCTTAAACAATTTTAATTTCACAGAATCGTTCGGGTAGATATGTTTTACTCTTAACTCGATATTCAAAATGGTGATGTCTGCTTTCTTGTTTCCCTCTGAATTAACATACATATCATTCTTTTTGGCACGTACAAGCTTTAATTTCTGCGTTCCCATAATAGCGCTAGTATAATAGGAGAAGACGTTCAATAGGAAATTCAATGGTATTAGGAGACTGAAATTATCCGTTTGTGGTTCATATGATTTCACATTACCGTTCGGCCAATTCCATCCCGCCACATCAAGGGCAGTACTTTAATTTTGATTGAGACACAAAAAACTTTTAACGGTACTTATAAGCCCTGAATCTCGTACTTTATCGATTAATTTTCCATTCAATTCATACGTTATCGATTCAAATAGAAATGCTCCAACGTTATTTGTCAGGGAACATTTTCCTGTTTTCACAACTGTCGATACTTCTTCCAAAAATTTCGCCTCAATGTATAATTAAGCCTGGCTAATATCCATAAACACATCCTGCTGATTAATAACAATTTCTATCTCATCGCTGTTCTTATATGTACTTCGAAAACTGTTAAATCCTAGTAATATTAGAGCATATTACTTTTGGTTATTTTAAATCGAGGAAATTTAAACTTTTACTTAGACTGGCTGTTTTCGACAAAAAGTATATTATATAGATAATAAATATATTATATATTATATATATACTATAATAAGTAAATATAATATAAATAATATAATATAATACTATAATATATATTATAGTGGGTAGTGGGTAGTCAAACAATTATTAATTAATAATTGTTCCATATTTTTTGTATATAGTAATTTTACTGTCATTTTATATACAAAACAAAAAAAAACACATTCAAATTATATCTAATAACTAAACATTTCAAAAAATCACAACAGAAACAACAATAATAAAATAAAAAAAAATTTCAAGAAAAAAATCAAAATTTTTTTTTTTTTTATTATTTTCGTTAAGTTTTAATTATGAAGAAAATACTAAAACACTTTTTTTCAATAATTTGTACTTTCCATAAAATAATGTTTTACGTCAGATATATCTTTTCCTTCTTTTTTTTTTCAGATCGTTCCTACCCTTAGATGTTTCCTTTTGTAGTGCTCTCTATCATATGCGTTTTCTGATTCCAACATACATCTTAGTATCCGCCCTCAACTATTAGATATGTGACAGTGTCTACTTGAGATACATGTGGGTGCCCCATCCATAGCTTCCTAGACATATTCCGCCATCTATTGTGGAAGCAAGAACATGTCAAACCTGATTGTTCTTGTTTCTATAATAAGTTAATGTTGTCTTGGGTCTCAATAGTTACATGCTGTAGTCCTGTATTACTTTCAACTACCTCATGATGCTCTAATGGAATTAAGTAATATTTACTTATTAAAATTTACATATTACATAGTTTTTATAGTAACTGAAACATACCATACCATATTAATACATACATCTATTTTGATCTTTTATAAAATTTTATAAAATTAGGCTAACGGTATTATCCGGCCATTTAACAACATACGTTCTTTTAAAACACAACTGATGTACATGGAAATTAATACTTTTTTTATCAACTTTTAATATAACTAAAGCATATTATGTACCTATACCTACTACCTATTATAATCTATACCTAATTTAACCTAAATTATAATCTAGATATCCATGTCGTACTTTGAAAACCTCGTAAGTACATTAGGGGGGGGGGGGTTGAACCCAGGAGGGCCTAGCTGTTTTGATTTTTAAAAAATGAAGAATGATATCATTAAAAATAAATACATTTTTTGAATAAAACGTTTACGTGAATTTCTCTATCAATAAATTTGACAGACTTGGTTATCAAACCGTGTTAACGTGAGTAGTATAGCTAGCGGGATACTGGGGGATCAATTTTTGCTCGATGGCATGTTTTCCATTAGCATCGATCCATGAGCCGAAGAAGTATTGACCTTGATTAATTTGAAGGTTATTTCTAAAGAAATAATGTTTGTGTGGGTAGTTTTTGTAAATTTACCGGAGGCTGTTGAAAAGGGCCTTAATGTAATTGTTGAGGGGTGGGTGAGGGTAGGTTTTTAAAGGTAAGCAGGAGGGTCAGGTCTCGCCATTTACGAATCTCGTCTGATACTTCTTGCGGAAGACTTGTATTTACCATTCTTATTAATTTTTTTATTAATAAAATTTTTCACGCTCTCTGTCTGTCTTAACTATTATGGATACTAAAGTAAAATAATATAATCTTTACATTTTATACAACGATTTGAGAAGATTTCTCTAGCATTATTAGCAATTTCAGACCTTCATGTATTTATGAGCGCCTTATCCCTTGCAGGTACAGTTATACTGTAGACACTCCTTAAATCAAATCCTGCAGCTCTAGAAGATCCTTTGGTAGGAGTAAAGGCTCCTGGAATTGCTTTTACATATTTCAAGCATTTTCTCTTTTCCATCATCAATATTTCATCATCATCATTTGACTATGTTTTCAAAAAATGAGAGGTTTTATAACAAATAAATAAAATCTAAAGATTTTCTAAATGTTTTCCCTTAGTTCCCAACCCCATGGTTTTGTATCTGTATACAAATAATTAATAATTCTTTTATCATCATTCGGAGATAGAGCTATTTTTCTTTGGGCTATAGTATACACTTGATGTTTTTTTTGATTGAATTAAATGTTGTTCAGTTTCAAGAGTGGAATTATTAAAAAGACATTGATAAAAATCGTCAAAATTTATAGATTTAAGTGAAGATGACTTTATACCCTTAGCTTTTTTTACTAACATTTAAATTTTCACAACTATGTGCTTGAGTTCTAAAAATGTACACTTTAGATCGTAAACCAATAAATTCGGTCATTATTTTCATCTTTCATAAGACCTAATATTTTTTTGTTTTTTTGTGGTATATTATACACATTATTAGGAGGATAGTCTGAAGTAGAGGTAGAAGGCCGATTCTGCATCAGTGGAGCAGTGGAGCAGAGCGCACGGCGCATGCGCGAGGAGTGGGGGTACAGCGCAGGCGCGAGGAGGAGGAACACGGCGCAGGCGCGAGGAGGAGGGGAGCTGTCAAACGTCAAACGTCATATGTCAAACGTCAAACGTCAAACTTGTCATCTGTCAAACGTCAAACGTCATATGTCAAACGTCAAACTTGTCTTACGTCATCTGTCAAACGTCAAACGTCAAACCTGTCTTACGTCATCTATCAAACGTCAAACGTCAAACCTGTCTTACGTCATACCTATTATATACAAGGTGTTAATGAAAAACAAACGCTTTACATCATAGATTGTTTTTTCACACCCGGTATATATTCCAAAAAAAAAATCTTTCCATGTTTTAACACAGATGATAATTTTAACGTTTGACGATTGAGTTTTAATTAATAATGCCTTTTGGGTATTCATAAATAATAATAATATTTATTTAAACGGTAAAAATAAATCAAACTTGATTTATCCATAACGATATGATGAGAGCGATGTGAACAAGACAATGGTTTACAGTAAAATGATCTAATACTTCAATCTTTACGGCTTCCTCTCATGATGTCATGCTTTTGTTTTTCTAGAAGATGAATCATTGTGATGAATATTTAAGTAAAATAAAATAAATCAAACTTGGTGAAAAATACATTGTGCAACATTTATTCCTTATCGGAGTTTGCGGTCGGTATTATTTTTAATCGGACTTTGCAGCTTCCGGTATGACGACTATGATATCACGCGTTTGTTTTTCTAGATTGCGGTTTCCGTTTCCGTTTCCGGCCTAGCATTGTACCAGCAAACAACTCGCAATTCACGTCAGTCTCTACTTGCCTCTCGTCGAAATTAGTCGTTTCACTGTGAAAAATAAAAAAAAAATGTTTCTGTGCAGCACTTGTGGGGAATTGTTTTCCTATAAAAGGAATTTGACAAGACATGCGAAGACTTGTAATGGTGAGTTTTTTATTTTATTTTTTATATTGTGCAATATTAAATGTTTTTTCTATTTTTTTAGCCAATGAAATCCAAACTGCCACGCCCCAAACCAGCGTGGACGAGGGTGCTAGCCTTAGTAAACGTAAGTAAATATTTTTATTTTATGTTCTGGCTTTAAAAAATGCTTTTTTATTTTAGATATGTGCCAAAAATGTTTGAAATCCTTTAGCAGAAGTGATAGTTTAGGCAGGCATATGAAGATTTGTAAAGGAGCCCCTAATGGTGAGTTTTTATTTTATTTTTTATTTTATATTAAATGGTTTTTCTATTTTAGTCAATCAGCCTGAACCAAAAAATTTAGAGAAGACCTCCCTAAAAAGGACGAGCTCTGCCACTAACAGTAAGTAATTATATTTTTTTTCCATTATTTTTAAACTAATTAACTATTTAATTATTTTTTAACATATTCAACTATTATTTTTTAACTTTTTTTCCATTATTTTTAAACTAACTAACTATTTAATTATTTTTAACATATTCAACTATTATTTTTTAACTTTTTTCAATTATTTAAAACTAATTAACTATTTAGCATATATTTCTATTATTTTTTAACAGAAAGCATCTATTTTATATTAAATATTTTTTTTTTCTTTTAGTCAATCAGGTAGAGCCAGAGTCTTCGGTGCCAAAGAGAGCTAGACTTGGTTTCAATAACGGTAAGTTATTATTATTTTTTTATACACCTTTTAAATTAAAACGTATATTTTTTTTTAGAACACTTGGTAATGCAGGAGGAAGGTGTTTACTTAGTTAATACCTCTTACAAAAACCGAATTGCTACATACCGACTTTTATCGAAAAAAGATCCTATCAGCGTTAATGATTTTTTAGCTAATCTCCGCGAAAAAATTATTGCGTTGGTAAGGTGCCAAATCGAAAGATTTGGCAATGTGAAAGTCGGTATGGAGCTTTTCGGTCGTTTCCTCCTGCAGACAAAGGAGGTAGAGGAGACCAAGTCCTTTGGCTCTAGGTTCAGGGGAGCAAGTCAGGGCACCGATTTGGAGGAGTTGTTTGATCAGTTCACCACTATCATTAAGCGGAGATTCCAGGAGTTCAATGAAAAAGATAGTGGTAAGTATATAATTTTTTCTGATTTCACCATACTAATTATTTTTTCGTGTACATTAGGTTGGACTCTTCAGCAACTCCTTCACGTAGATGTAAGGGTAAATAAAATCAACCCACTAAAAGCCTCATCTTATATACCATTACCGAAGGAAATAGAAGCGAAAAGGGCTCGGAAAATCTATAGGTTGAAACCAATGGCAGCTATTTTTTACTTCTATTTTCCTTCGATTTTTTATTTATTTTTTTATTTATTTATTTATTAAGATTTAGTTACTTTCATGTTTAAGAGGATGGGTTAATTTTATTTTTGTATTTTTAGTGTATTCTATTTAGAGTATTATATTCAATATATTTTAGCTTACTACATTTAACATATTTATATTGTATACAAAATTTAGACGTTTTATACTATGTCTACTGTTTGATTTAAGCTTTTCAATAGTTGCATTCAAATTTAGTAATTTTTCCTAACATAAATAATTATTTTTATTATATATTTATTTTACACATGTATTTAACAGTAATACTGAAAAACATTTTTCAAACTTTTTTATATTGTACAAGACTGATTTTATAAAAAAAAAATGATTTAGAGTATTCTAAATAAAACAATTTTTTTCATTTCACTGTGTATTTATTTTCCACATTTCTCTCATCTAGTAATTATAAAAAATAGGTAAACAGTATTTAAATAACAATATACAATCATCCTCCCAATCAATATAAGTTTTCCATTTCCTATCTTGAATTATCAGCACTTTCACTTCTTCTTCAAAAGCATAGGTTATGTTTAAATGCCCATCAATTTCTATAGATTTATCACACCAACCACTATTAACGTTTTCATCAACAAAGTCCAGAAACGTTGAAAAACCTTCATATGACATTTGAATCTTCTTCTTCTCCTTGTTTGTACTTTGGAAAATAATTTGCTTTTCTGCCAGGTTCTCGGAAATGTTTAATGCTACATTAATTATTGGTTCTAATACACTTGATTTATCCATAACGATTTGATGATGAGAGCGATGTGAACAAGACAATGGTTTACAGTAAAATGAGCTAATATATAATGTACAGGCTAATAAGTAAAAAAAAAATACTAGATATTAATAGATTTAAATTTATTGAGTTAAAAGGTTTATAATATAATCATATAATATATGAGCATTATTTACAGTACAAGAACATATTTCTAGTCTATGATAATTACAATTATTACTGTATGATTGTTCTAATTTCGGCACAGGTCCAGAAGTAAATTCCAAGTTCACTATACAGGGTGGATCAAGATTCATTTCGTTGTATGTGCACAGCAGAAATTCCTTTTTAATAGATCCTTTAACGAAAACCATATCGACACCTTCCAATTCCTCCTGTATTATGTTATACATCGCCTTATAGGGTAAATACCCTGAATTATAAGGGATTCCATGAACATTGTGAAATATATAATTTATCGTCTTCTTATGGTGTATCGGCAGATGGTTGTAACAAATCTTCGGTTTAAACGTATAGGTTTTCATTTCTTTTCCATCGTATATGGATAATTCCTTAACCTCAAATTCGGGGATGGGAAATCCTTGTACGTCTATAACAACGAACTTCATCGTATCAATGTCTTGCAGCAACTGATTAAATTAGCGTTCTAACATGTCCTGATAAAGGTAAATATTCCATGACTCGATCGTATATGATGATACAAAATGCTCGGGTGTTTTCGGGGAAATTTTCCGAACTCTCAAATTCTAGCTTTACATCTATCACATTACTTTTCAGAGCCTCGTTTTGTTTTGAACAATCAATTACAAATAGGGCTCGACTGGCAAAAGCGGTAAAATCTAGCAAAGGTTCGCTATTGATCTTTCCCAAATACGATTTTTGAAAATCCGTATACATGGAATAGGCTTTAGTAAACTGTCTGGTTTTGAAATTTAAATCTAGGGATTCATATGGGTAGGCCTCGGAATTTAGATAAAGCTTGACATCTGTAATTTTCAAATTATCGAAATATGTGCCATCAGCTTTATAGTTATCTTTTCGATCTTCTTGGAAGAATACAACAACATATCTCGCTCGTTCAGATGCTGCCTTCACTGTCCATACATCTTTTCTCGCTTGTCGTAGAGCAGGTAGTTCATGATTTCCCATTTCCTAAATCCAATAAATACCGGTTTGTCCTTGGAAATTGCTTCAAACAATTTTAATTTCACAGAATCGTTCGGGTAGATATGTTTTACTCTTAACTCGATATTCAAAATGGTGATGTCTGCTTTCTTGTTTCCCTCTGAATTAACATAACAATTATCATCTTTTTTGGCACGTACAAGCTTTAATTTCTGCGTTCCCATAACCGCGCTAGTATAATCGGAGAAGACGTTCAATAGGAAATTCAATGGTATTAGGAGACTGAAATTATCCGTTTCTGGCTCATATGATTTCACAGTACCGTTCGGCCAATTCCATCCCGCCACATCAAGGGCAGTACTTTCATTTTGATTGAGACACAAGACTTTTAACGGTACTTATAAGCCCTGAATCTCGTACTTTATCGATTACTTTTCCATTCAATTCATACGTTATCGATTCAAATAGAAATGCTCCAACGTTATTTGTCAGGGAACATTTTCCTGTTTTCACAACTGTCGATACTTCTTCCAAAAATTTCGCCTCAATGTATAATTCAGCCTGGCTAATATCCATAAACACATCCTGCTGATTAATAACAATTTCTATCTCATCGCTGTTCTTAAATGATTTGGTGAATGGGTGATACGTATGCCATTCTTCTCGAGCAATGGATTCATCTACGTTGACCGGTTGGAATATTTGTAGTTTTTCTGATACGGAGTCCATATTTACTGATAATATGGTGAAGCTGAAGTATGCTCTTGGACGTGAGCGTCTGCTGTGGTGTACAAGTACTAACTGATTGATTGCTCTGTGAGCTGGTATTTAAATAGTAAGGTTTAAAAGTTAAACCCATTCTTTTTAAGCTCCAAACGTATAACAATGTCTTCACCTCTAAAGTTGACGGGTCTTGATTCCTGATCTAATATATCCAATGTAATGTTATCAATAAAATTTCTATTTACTGGGAGATAGATTAGATTCCTGGGTTCGATAATTATACTATAGCCAGGATCTACGCTTGGACTAAACTCGTACAGTGTATGAGATGGATTATTAATGTAATACGATCCAGATATGATATTGCACTCGGTACGTATTGTTACCACAGGAAAAATTTCCGCAGGTATATCTGATTTGTGCAATTTGTTGGCAGCTAAAACTTGCGGTGAAAATCCTAATATTTTTCCAATACTATCTTCAGGTTGAAAATCTATATCGTAGATACACTTTATTTCACACTTTAGTGTATTATTATTAGGGTGTAACTTTATAACGGTTTTATTCTTAGAACTTGCTCTTTTTGCAAATACTCTTCAATGTCGGTAATCTCTCGTAAGATCCTGTTGGAATTTCAATTATTTGCTTTATACCGTCTACAGAATAATGAAACTTATTTCGACCTGGTTCGATATTCGGTATTGAATTCCAGGTACTGAGAGAGATATCAGAGCTAGAGAATAACTGTATCTAGAATCGAGTTCTATTGGAGGATTAATATCCACGCTTAAACAGCTAGAACGACCTTTCAGTGTGAATGTCTGAGACATGACTGAGCGTGAAATTAAAACACATGTTCTTTTATAACTATTTATTATTATAGAGAAAGGACAATGCAAGATGACCACAATTATAAGTATTATATGTTTGATACTGGTCGTAATTATAATATATTTTACATTTCTTGAAATATCGAACAATTTCTTTTGGTGGGTTTAAATTTCCAAAACTATCAAAATACACAACTTTATCCCTTGTTTTTCTATATGCTACCCAATGAGTTCCATCTCCTTCAATCTCGTCCAAATTTACAACACCGCACTCGTTCGTTCTAGGTGTTTGTGGTAGAGCATTTCGCATAAATACTCCTCTGAAGTTGACAATTTTTAATTTCTTTACATATTTCTGTATATCTAGGTTAGACAAAGGTCGATTGGGTAGCTTTATTGGTAGTTTTTTGGCAATTGCTTCTGAAGAAATAATCCATATCCTGTCTTGTGTTTGGCAAGGTATAATCCGCTTCCTCTTTTACCCAACGCAATGGCTTCCATGGTTTCGTTATGTCGTTGAGATTCCTTTAATTTATCTCTTGCCGCTCGGCTATCTTGAACAGCTTTAGCGACAGAAGCAGCGCCTCCGGTAAGAGCTCCCAAAGCACTTAGGCCTGCGAAGAGCGGAATAAGAGGTAAAATTCCTCCGACTTTAGGTACTGGGATAACTCTAGGTACTTTAACTTTTCTTCTACCACCAGCTTGTTTAACACTCATGCGAGCTGCTCTCAGTGCTAGTTTAATATTATCCTTGAGGGTGCCATTACCATAATGTTTAATATGTCTCTTCACTTTATTAACAATAAAAGATTTGAAGGGTTTTCGTTTAACACCCATACCAAGCTTTCGTTTTGTTTTCATTGCGTTTGTAACAAGCCACGCAGCACTTTTTTCTCCGATATTAGAATCCAAAGCTTTAACTCTTTCCCACGCTTTTTCCTCCAACACTTTATCGGCTTGATGTCGTCGATTCAAATCCTTTTCTTTCGAGTATGCGATATCGTGCTCCTTACACGCTCGATCTAATTCGTTTATGCCTGGATCTCCTCTAGCTAATCGTTTAGCAAGCTTTGTTCCCGGACCACAATACTGGTAACCAGGTAAATGAAGTTCAAATGGTAATTTATTGATAGCCCTATTTAAGAGACCTTTACCCTTTGACGTTCTCATTACAACTGAAGACGTGATCGAATAAACATCGTATATATGTGAAAAAAAAAATGAGAAAAGTTAAACAGAAAATCGATATTGATGTTTGTAATTTCGATATCGCACAGGGTGATGCTAGAAATCGACATAGCGATCTATTACCAAATACTATAAGGGCTATAATCTGTGGCCCCAGTAATTCAGGAAAAACGAATGTGATGTTAAGTCTTTTAACAGATCCAAACGGACTTCGGTTTGAGAACGTGTATGTTTACTCAAAGTCTCTCTTTCAAGACAAATACACATTTTTGCAACAGGTTTTGGATCGTATTAAAGGTGTTAATTACTACGGATACAGCGATAACGATAGTGTATTGGATCCCGTAAACGCCAAACCCGACTCTGTCTTCATATTCGATGATGTAGCTTGTGAGAAACAAGATAAAATTAGAAATTATTTTTGCATGGGTCGTCACAATGCAATCGACTCGT